ATAATTAAATGCCATTAAAAGTATTAGCAAACGTCAATCTGCACATTCTTCAAACAAAAAGGGACAAAAGCATAAATAACATCAACATCATCCAAGTTCTTCAATATAACAAGCAGATGCATAGAAATGACTCAGAACTGGAGGCAATATTTATGATGCGTGGTCCTTCTCATTAACAGCAAGCAGTTATCCCTCCTATGTTTCTGCTGCATATATTGAGCAAGGGAAGACTACCAGGCATACCAAAGATAAATGCTTTCATCTTAAAAAATACCCAATATAAACTAAGAACAATTAAAGGTTTTAAATTACCTCCTTATTGACAAGCCTCAGGAACTCTTCACGTTCTCTACTCACAGACTGAAATATTATTCAACAAACAAAATATTAAGAAGCTGTTAAGCTTACAGCGTGGATGATCACGCTTGAAATTTTGGTAGAGGAAAAAGAAGAGAGAACACTCCACAATAAAAATATTGAGAGTTATTCAGTCCAGTCCTTACAGATGCGGAAGCCAAAACAGCCAACGCACGACTTATTTCGCAGAGCTTCTCTTGCTTTTCTAGTGTCCTTGCCCTGGCTTGTTCTTGTGCTTCTTTGGCTGTTGGAATAGTCATCTCTTTCAATGCCTTATCCTCTTCTTTGGCTTTAGATTCTTTCATTCTGGCTAGCTCTTCTTCCTCTCTCTGCTCCTCCTCCTGTCACATAATAATTCAGAAAGCCACTCAGTACAAATAAGGATCAACCAACAGAGACAGAAGTGAACAGTTACATCAAAATTAATTCTTCAACGAAAGTTATCTAAGTCAGATGATAGTCATAACATTTTATTTCAGGAGGTTTTCTTCAGCACTATAATTTGTGTTTTTCATTTTGATTGCTCATCCTTTTTCTGGGTTCCAAATTCAGACAACCCCAAACTAAATGCTTCAAAACTGGCTATAAAAATACACACACACATTTAGTTCTGGTTACTAAAACACTAAAAGCTAATCTATAAGACCGTCAAAATGAAAAACAAACAATTTCAACCTTGATCTTTTCTTCCTGCATCTCAAGGAACTCCAATTTCCTCCTCCTTTCAGATACAGAGTCTTCCGAGGGCAACGATGTAACACCAACAGTATCCACCACTTCATCTGGCAAAGAAGACAGTGTAGCTCGAACGGCGTCAGCTGGCATCAACCTTCCAGACACAATGAAGGCTCTGCATTGTGCACATCAAACAAGAACTAAGTTAAACTCGCTCCAGTATCAAGATATACATGAACTGTAGGGCTTCTGAATGTAAAAGCAATAATAAAGAATTAAACAAAACCAAAGAGTTAGGTGTGCATTATGGGGCCTAAGAATACCTGGAAAGGATCAAAAGCGAAGATGGCATGGAGTGATTGAGAGACAAATCCAACCAATCACGAAGCTACATGATGACATTAGTGAATAAATGAGCACAGAGATCAGTTTTGATATATCATAAATCACCAAGCTCCATTAACTACTTATGAAGCTGAAAAGTATATTCAGACTCTAAGTTGCCAAAAAAGGTAATGGAAGTTTCAACCGCCTGATCTGCAATCGAAGAAAGGAGTATCTGGTCTAAGCATGGTATACCTGCTGGCGCATATCTTCCACAGAACGCAAACCAAGCATTCCACGCTCCCTGCATTCCTCGCGCAGCTCATCTTCTGTAAGGGATTCCACTCCTTCTTCTTGAATTAACGTATCATCAGCCTTAATCCTGACAAAAAAAAAATGTTGATAAACATTAAAACAAAACTCAATTTATCAGTTCCTTTTTCAGAAAATAGGTTGAAAAACTCTTGCATGTTCGTCTATTTACTTCATGTTTTGGTTTATATGTAGCTAATTCAAATACCAATTAGGGATAGCAGCATTTTCGAATAGTTCTTTATGTTCGCAGTAAGAAATTCTTTGATCAAATTCTCTAACAAGATAGTATATGCTCTTCTTGAAAAGAAGAGTATGTCTCTAGTGATTTACTAAAGATTTCATTGATGAAATAAGAAAAAATATATCAAAGAAAGATGACCAAGCTTAAACCAAGACCTAATTGGGCAGAGCACAGCATGAGGAGCCTAATAAATAGCTCCAATTTAAGATTAACTTTACTATTCTTGTTTCTAAAAAGGCTACAACAAAAAAAATGTACATCTAATATGCAAAGATATGCATCTCACCGCTGGAGTCTTTTCCGGAGCATATATCGCAAATATGCATCTGTTCCATAAGGGCTAATATTCATATATTTGCACATACTGACTAATCGAGGCCTGCATGCAACAGAAAACAGAGTCATTAACTTCACGGACAAATGCATTCTATCACATTCAAACATTAAAACCTTGAGCAATCATGATAAAAGATAACCTGCTGATGTTATCAAGGGTAAGTTCATCATTAAACAACTTGGCAAACCCCAAAATCTCCTCGTTGGAAACACGTCCACCCGTTCTAACCTACACATAGAAATTGACAGGTTTGCATACAAGATATATTGGAGAAACAAACATGGAAAGTTTACCATAGGAACTGAAATCCTCACTTTGTTTAAAAAATCATCTAGATCTTCTGCTGTTTGCTTAATTTCTCCACTCCTAGAGTTTTGAACTTCCTTTGCCATTTCTTTGGCCGTGTCTTGGAGGAACTTAGCGTATTCTATTCTTGCCTTTAGCCTCCTTTTCAATGCCTCCTACAAATTGATAAGAAAGTTGAAATCGAACATACTACAACATAAGGGGAAAAAGCAAAGCCCCTAAGCATATGTGAATACTTAAGTTAGTATTAGAAAAATACTATAATACGAAAGAAACTATGTGTACATGAATTGCAAACACAAGTTGGTAGGAGAATGGACATGCAGAGACATGACGTGTATCATGCAGGCACGCATTTAAGCAAACTCTAGAACAAAAGAAGGTGTCATGCAGAGTCCAAGCTAAATCGATTACAAATATACAATCCCTACCTCTTCCTTCAATTTGTCTTGAAAAGTTGATGGCAGCATGTTGGGGAACAATTTGAGGAAAACTGGCAGCAAAAATTCCATGAAAGGAACGATGATGAAAACCGACAAGGGAACTAGCCTAAAGATATCAGCTGTTGTGCGGGTGAGCTGTTGTCTCTCCCTTCTAGAGAGAGTCTTGCCGCCAGCAAGCTTTAGCAGCAATCTCGAACAAATCCTTACATCAGCACCCAGAAGCTTAATACCCAACCAATAATGCTGCAATGTGGATATAAATTCCTTCTTCCAGTGAACAAGTTTCTTGGCCCAGTCTTCCCTGCATAATCAAACAATCATGAAAACCAGCATTTGTGAAGATGAAATCATCTTGGATTAAAAATGAAATCTTGTTGATTAAAAGAGCCAACAGATGGGCTGACATGGGCGCAGCCACACTTTCTAGAGTGGATATGCTTCTGGTATTCTGCCCACTTCAAACTCCTCCACAATTTAGATTAGTTTAAAGTAGAATATCGCAATTTAGATTAGTTTAAGATAGAATATCGGAAAAAGATGAAAGATTTTAACCTATATATTCTAACCTGCTCATGGAAGCCACAGCTCTCAAAGCAGGGCCAATTCCGAGGATTGTGGCCCAAACTTTCTGCAACATGGGTTTGACAGCCTTTTCCTTGAGAGATTCTTGCAATTTCTTGGCCTTGGCGGCTTTCGCAGTGCTCAACCCCTGGACAGCTTGATCGCAGTCCTCCGGAGACGCCTCCTTTCTTCTTTTGGCAGCCAAACGCTCGTTCTCCTCGTCATCACTGGGACTCCCAGCCTCAGTAGGCTTGGCGGGCGCCGCCGCTGCAGCTGTGGACGCATTTCGAATCGCCTGCGACATCCACCGCTGATGTATCCCCATTGGCGAGATATAGACATACCCCAATCGCCGGAACTCGTCTTTTGCCACGGAAACTTTATCATCACCGTCGTTGTTGCTGCTGCTGCTGCTCTTAAGCGTGACGATACTGCTGAAGCCCCTGGACTCCAATTTCTGATCGCCATGGGAATGCCCGAGCCACCGGAATCCAGGGCTGGCGCGGGACGACGCCGTTACATAGTCGATGACGATTCTTTTCCTCCTGAAGATCGCTGTCGAAGCCATTTCTCAATTTCTGCACTCAATTTCAGATCTCACGCATAATCAACTGCAGCACACAGGTGAAACAATGTCGTTTCGGGGTTTCTAAAAACCACTCGATCGAAATTAAAAACCTGAAACCCTTCTCTTCGAAAGCAAATTACTTCAGGGTTTAGGGTTTATATATTATCAAGTAATAAGTAAATTTTTTAGAGTAACAAAATTGACCGTTCCAACCCAAGTTATCCTTTAAGCAAATCCTGGAAAATAAGAAAAATACCGACTTTTTATCCAAGAAAATCACGCCGTCAAGTGACAAAATTTATAATTTGTTTCCGTATAAATTTATTATCTAAATTAATAATTAACAAAATTCTCTTTATCAATTAAAAGATAAAATAAAATAAATAAATAAACTAAAAGATAAAACATCTCAAAAAAAAAAAAAAAAAAAAAAAAAAAAAAAAAGAGGCTAAAAGATAAAAAGAGGTGAAAAACTATTCAAAGTGGGTAGACGTATGTTAGTTAGACAATACATAGTGTCACATGAAAGATAAATAACTTTAGCGGGGCTAATCGTATAGTTTTCGTGTTAGAATAACATTTTTGCAATTGATTAAAAATAGAGGTATTGGTTGATTTTTTCCAAATTTGTAAAGAGCTGTCAAATGTTTTTTCAAAATTTTAATTTTAACAGATAACACCTTAAACTTTTACCATTGGCCAATTTTCCTCTAACTTTTAATTTTAGTTGATTACCGTTTAAACTTTATAAAAATTCAAGAGGGCAATTAGATAAATCAAAGTAAGAAATTGATTGCTCCTTAAAAGTTCAATGAAAATAGACAAATACCACAAAAAAATAATTACGGGATACTAGTGAAGCCTGTGAAGGGATATGCTCAAAGATTCGTTTACATATGCTGAATTCTCAGTCAAATTGATAGATCTTTGGCAATAAACAAGGCAACAGGAAAATAAATATCATGGACCATTCTTTGGTTGCAACACATCCGTAGACAGAAACTACAATCAACGAATTTGCAAATTTGCGACGATATTCTGCGTAGTTTCTTTCTTGTCTTGAATTAATGCAAATGATCTCCGACTAATTTTCATGATTAAAAGTCTAAAAGCACGATCAATATAAGGGCGGAAAAAAAAAAAATCTGAGGATTAAACGCTGCAAAATCACAACATAAGCCTCAATTCAATCGTCAAAACTTTTACAGGGGCTAAGAGACACAGAGGTTGATGCAGAAACATGCTGAGACGAACACAGGCAGCCTCAGAATGTGTAGAAGCTCATTTCTTCTTCCCGCCCTTGGCAGCATCACCAGCCTTAGTCTGCGCGAATCACAAAAACGGTACCACAAAAGAGTTAGGGCACTGAAAACATAACAAGGTTCAAAAAAGTAGTTCCGCCAACAATTTCAGGTTCAAAAACAGAACAAGGATCATATATTTTTACCTTCTTTACTCCGCGGATCTTCTTGGCTCTGTTCTTCCTTTCCTTGAGTTGTTTCCTTGACTTCTCCACCTTTGTATCCAATCCATTCTGCAAAAGTAGCCATGGTTGAGCGAGTAAGAGAGAGTGCGAGAGATAGACTCTCGGTGTGTGTAGTTATAAAGGATTCAAGAGACAAACCCCCAAGGATATGGGCATTTGAAGCGAAACCAAAAACACATGCAACAACTGTATTGACCGAAATCATAACATCGCCATTTGACACATAACAAATGACTGTTAACTTGGGAAGGACTGCAAAGCCTACTTCTATAGCTTTCAAAACCATTATATACCAGACGCAGAAGCATTGACAAATCAGACTCTTCAAATTCTGTAAGGTCTTCCCGTGAAAGGTGATAGATCAGAGGATCGGAAAAAACTAATCAACATAATTTAAAACAGATTCACCTCCTTTATAACCCTTTTGCCTACAGTTTATAATAGCCTGAAAGGGCCCCTTCATCAAACTCAAACGATTAAAAAAAATCCAATGGATGCACATATTAAATGACGAGAAATAAACTTATGTCGAAGCATAAGGAACTGCGATTTACATGCAATGTGCTTGAGAAAAAGAAGGTACAGTTACCCTGATCAGCCTGTACTTGGGCTCGTACTTCTTTGCATTCTCAACAGAATCATAAATCAAGCCAAAACCAGTGGACTTCCCTCCTCCGAAATGGGTGCGGAACTTGAAAACAAAGATGGCATTTGGATCCCTCACTTCATACAACCTTGCCAGTTTCTCCTTCAACTCCGCCTACAATACGACATGAAACAGAAATTCTTTTCAGCCGACAGAACAAACAATCCGCCCAGCGAAAAAATAAAGCCACAACTTGAGAAAAGGTGAGATTAACAACACGAACAACTAAGCATCGTCGATATAGTGCAACCCAAACCTCCAAACCATTGTCTAAGATTCAAAACATTTCTTTACAACAACCAAGCCTTACCCCACTAAGTGGGGTGGCTGTATGAGCTACCCTCGGTTTTGCGCCAAGTCTTACAGAATAACATGTAGCTCAATGGTACTAGAATTTTCAGGAGTAAAATGTTAAAGAACGGAAAACAAACCTTGGAAACATTCGGTCTTCCTGGATGCAGAACATCGATAACCTGCAAGAAACAAAGGATTTACACACTCAAAGTTAAAACGTAGAAATACATTGCTTTTCTGGGCAATGCTTTTTACAGCTAGATTTTACGATTCCACTTCGGCAGCACAGTTGAACTCGAGATTCAGTTTATGATATGGGATTGTTTGGTTGGATATTTTTCTTGGTTTCTCCGACTTTTTTTCTAGTTGACCAAACAGGAGAATAGCAGGTAGAAGACTCACGAACTGCTTTCTGGAGAGGAGACGGTTGGTCATGAACTTCCTCGTCCGGATCGTCACCGCCTTGCTATCCGCCATGGCTGTCTTTCTCTACCTTGTGTTTCAAATTTCAATTTCTGCGCCTCCGCTCTTCTTTCCCTCCTGTGAGTGTCTGCGTTGTGAGCTTTTTCGCCGGGGAAGGAGGAGTAGGGTTTTAGGGTTACTACTTACTAGAGTAGAAGATATGTTGGGCCGCTCTTCAAAATATTAATCTCAACCCAAAGCCCACCGATTTTCTTTTATTAAATTAAAACACCAATTAAAATTCTAAACAACTTTTTTCAAGAAACTAATTTTGTTGCGGATACCTTGGCTTCTGTGGGCCATTCCTCTCCTAGCGCGATCGTTCGTCATCATCCGTTGCCTAGTAAGTTTCATTCAGCTTGGTTATGATTTTGCTTGCTCCTTTTGCCCTAGAAGCTTCTCTTTGTAATTGTTATTTCCGTCTCTAAATATATTATTTTGCCTGGTAGAATTTTAAATATTTATTCTCTTCTTTATCCTTTAAAAAAAAAAATAATAATGTCCACACCATCAATTCTTTTTGCTAAACTTTTATCTTCTTTCTCAAAAATTAAATTGAATAAATTAAAAAAGAATCAAGAAGTAAAAGTTTTTAATTTTTATTGAGAAAGTAGCATGACACAATTTAACGCTTAGTCAAGCTAAAGATAGCAGGAAACCCAAAAAAAAAGGCTTATAGGATTATCAACGTACGTATGTACACTATATATAGTATAACGCAGTGAAATTTATCATGTACAAGAAGATAAAACTATCCTCTTAAATAATAATCAGGTCGATGGCAATGCAGCAGCTGCAGGTTGCGACTGCGAGTCAACCAGGATGGACCAGAGAACATGCACATCTTCGCACGGACAAGACCTCACGTCCTTGTACAATATATATATCCCCTTTCCTGCAGTTTTGTAAAGAATCAAACTGAGAGCTGGAGATTAAGAGGAAAGAGGTTAGATAGAATTAGATTGCAGAAGGAGAAACGAGGAATTGCGTACGCTTTCTGTGGCTCGAGTGCAGACGATCCCAGAGCTTCTTCAATGGGGAGACGAGGGAGTGAAGCCACCCCATTGGAAGGAAGGAATGAATGGGGAAGAAGGTGGGAGGAAGGGTTTAAATGGTGGGTTTGCTTTGCAATCATGCTACGAAAATATATATGACTCTTGTTGACGAGTCTTTGTCACATCCTTTCTCTCCCCCTCTACCAAACTAAGGAGCAAAATAAAAACAAACCCTTCTCATTTCTCAGTCTTAACCATTTTTTTCTTCCTTTCACACTTGAAAACTCCTTTTCCTTCCTTCCAACATAATCATATTGGTGCTTGCTTGTGCCGCAAGCCTCCCTCGTGCAGTTAAGCTAATTAATCGGTTTCTTTTGTGTTCCTTTTCGGGTGCCCTTGTTTTTGTGTTAACTACAGCGTCGAGTTTCTGAAAGTTTCGGCCTTTTCTTCTGAAGTTAGTGATAAGGTACATTAGTCGTAGTAGTTAGAGATAATGCAGTAAGGATACAAGCAAGATATTGGATTAGTCTTCCGCTTCAACTTGAAGGAACCCACCTTTCACAATACATTTAAATTATATGCAAACAATTGTTAAAAAAGTGGATGGCTTTTTAACCCATGAGCCTTCTAGGAAAATGCTCGATTAATTCGGATAAAACGGTGATTAAGGCCGAATGATTCCATAAGCAAACGATTACTTATGAAGATAATTAATCTGAGATGATTGGTTTACATTACAAATTTGCAAACACGTGTGGTTAATTTGTCTACGTTATGGGCTCCATCTTCACCCAAAGGAAAAGCAACTTCAGAAGGCTTCTTCTTCTTCTTCTTCTTCTATACACTTTACAGATCGTACAAATAACATCAGTTTTTAGATCGTTTCTTTTCGCTGCAAAATGCGGTGATCATCGTCAAATCAAAGGGATTCGGATGCAATGAGAATATATTTTGGGAGTACGTTATTATGTGCGTGTGTGCGTACGTAAAACAAATCATCTACATGAAAGGAAAATTTCTTTTTCGCACATGAATCTGATACATACTAGAAAGGAACTGTTCCAGCTCCTTAGCAAACAAAGATTATGGGATAGCAATCCAACTCTTTACGTAGGCTGACTCGATTTCTTAGTCTAAACCAAAGCCCCCCTCTTGATTATTAATTACATTGCAACGTCGAGCCCCGAGCACCTAGTCTGCGCCCAAGTCCTTTTCTCAATTCGTCTTCCAATGGAACTGAGACTGCCCCCTCTTATTTCCTGCATATCATCAAATCGTATAATGCGTTACAGTGCAGTAAGAAAATGAAATCCACAACTTGTCCGTGTGCGAGAGAAAGTACTATGAACCTTTTGAAGATACAAAGAAGATAGACGTACCAAGGAAGCTTAAACGTGTCTTTCCACCATCCCTGCTTTGAGCAATTCGAAACTATCTTGTCCAACCGTACAATAATCTCCGAGAAAATGGGCCTCATAACAGGTTCTGGATTCCAACATTCCTCAATCAACCTGCATTCATATCATTTTAGCATCATCAATTAAGCATTACAATTCCCCTTTCAGATACGACGAGAAAAAGTTATTGCATGTTAACCAGTAGATCACGGTGAACTTACAGTGACTTGTATTGAAATCAAACTTACTCTTTTACTTCAGGGGGATAACTTTTTGATTTGGTCTTCAGCTGCGGTCTTTTTCCTTCCAAACACATCAGTTTCGCAGCCTCTTCCATAGGCTTGGGATGGAATGGTTGTAATCCCTCAACCATCTATGAGAAAACAAAGCCACACAAAGACAAGTTATTGCTTATTTCAAAATAATAAGCAACAATGTAATTGCTTTCCACACAAGATCAAAAGAAAAAACCATCCACAAATTCCCCCAAACCATCGGTGTTTTAAATAAGAATTCAAAAGTCAATGTCTGCAAGAGTGCTACGTTCACAGCAAAGTGTTTATGTGTATTGTTTAAGCTTGAGAAAGCAATGTACTGTATATTCTAGGAACCCAGGAAAGTAAACTAATTTAGAAGTGCTGAACTGACAATGAATTATACTTGATAACACAATGAAGATAGTAAAAATGAAGGGTACCTCGTATAATATAAGACCGAAAGAGTATGCATCCACACTTCTGGTGAAAATTTCATCTTTGTAGATCTCAGGTGCCACATATAAACCTAGAATGAAAGAGGACAAATTATAATTCAAGTCCTGATGACGAGTTTCAGATGAGTAGATCTAGTCTTCTTGTTGCAAAAAACAGAAATATACAATGTTTTGAGAGCAACATGCACATCCTGTATACACTAATACGCATGTAGTAGTTGTGTAGATTGATCAGCTTTTGTCTAATTAAATGATTCAAAAATGATTCTTCCTATAATCTAAATTTTCCCAGAAATTAAGATCTTGCGCTCCTATAGAGTCGAAGAGAAAATTTCCTTCTCAAAGAGCGAAAGTTAAGCAACAATCAGAATCCAAAATTTTTAATTATGAATATATTTCTACTCGTAAAGACCGAATAATTTTATCATAGAGTGCAGATCATGAGAGATGAATTCAAGGCAAGAAAGTGATTCAGTGGTACAAGAACTTACTTGAAAGGTCAGTGTCAGCCCAAGGCTGTGCTAGTTTTGCTTTGTCAGGTGAGATTTTTGACATTCTTAACAAGCCAAATCCAGCTACTTTCAGTTGACCTCCATTATCGAGCAAAATATTTCTGGCACCTTACCAAAATTTCAAATATGAAATAACCGTACATCCCAACCAGAACCATCAAAAAATTAATAGCCAATTATTACACCTATTACATCAACTTATGCATTTGGTTGTCTTACTTTGGCTTTAAATCACAGTGGATTACTGGGTCTGGTTTACATTCATGAAGATAATTCACGCCCCTGGTAACAAGAATAAGAAAAGAAAAATGTCATAAATGTGAATTGGCTGAACCTAGCTAGACAGTTAGAAGGAAGAGCATGCTTGAGCTACTCATCGATATATAAACCATATGATACGATTATGTGCTTGTATCTGAACATAAAACATTTTTTTTTTTTGTGTATGCTGAATTTCTATTTGAATGGAGAAGTTTTTAAAAGAATAATTGGCAGAAAAACAAATACATGCCTTGCAATGTCAAGAGCAAATCTTAGGGCTTTTTAACAGAGATAAGCGCCCTTTCTTTTGAAGATAGCTTCCCAAGTCACCCTGAAATATCACCATCAAAGCATTGCCAAGTCATGGTTAAGCTATTTAAGTGTATATGAGTGCGCGCACACATTCAATATATATGCAGAGAGAGAGCTTACTTTTGAATGATACTCTGAGACAATCATCATCGGTATATTTTGGGTAACGGCACCAACAAATTGAACGATGTTAGGATGCCGAACCTTCTCTAACAACTCCAGCTCATGTTTGAAAGCATTACTGTCGGATTTAAGGAAACTATGAAGAAAGAATGCATCATAAAACCATATAAGTCTATACCATAAAAATGTGCCATCCCACGCTGAACTAATGGCTCTGCAAATAACTAAGGAGCAATTCAATTTCAAACAACAAGAAGATTACATAAATTGTACTACTTTAGACATAAGTGGTAGTACAACATCACCTAAACGGTTTTCAGGGGATGAGAGTACATACATGCTTTCAGGGTCTGTATAGCGATCCTTGTCAAGTATCTTTACAGAAACCTTCGTACCATTCCATTTAGCCACTTGATACGATCCCTGTTGAGAAAAAGGGAGAAATATATCAGCAATCTGTCTAAACAAGAAAGCACACATTAATTGTCTTGCCGATCTGCAACATTACGCACATCCTGATAGGAGTTCAATAATAAGGGACTCAGACTTCCAATTTCCCGAGTGCAAAGAAACTGCTTTCAATGCACCCGAAGACTTGAGACATATCATAACTACTACTACTACTACTACTAGACCGGAGCATATATGAACAGTGAAAAGCAGAGCCTGAAATCTACAAATGGTGGTGAAAAGGAGAAAAGGAACAACCTTTGTGATACCATCACTCTTTCGAACAGTGAAGCTCTAACGGATTGAGCTCATACTCTGGAACTTCTCGAGGATTCGCAACAGTCATTGGTGTCTTCCTGATTTTCTAGAAAATAAACACAAAGAGAACACAACAAATGTATTAATCTCCACCTGCAGACAGGCTAAATTTTTCAATCAGAGAGAAAGAAAGAAGCTGATCAGACTATATACATACCGGAACTTTGGCTCCACGGGATTTCAGAATATTGTAAACTTCCGTGTTCCCGTAATACTTAGCATCTACAGCTGCCTGTCCACATTCAACACATTTGTAATATTCAATCTCCCACATTATAATATCACAAATTACGAACTTGTAAGCATATTTTCTTCTTAATTCTATTTACAATCATAATAATCTAATTACAATTTGATTAATTTAAACAAAAACATTAAGAGCTGGTTTGGTATTGCTGTGCTTTGAAAAAAAAGCTGCTTTTGCTGTGAAAATAAGCAGCTGTGAAATAAAGCAGAAGAATGTTTGGTAAACTTTTTTGTAAAAGTGCTTTTGAAAAAAAAAAAACAGTATTATAGTGTTTGGTAAACTTTTGTGTAAAATAGATGTGAAAAAAAAACCGGTTTTTCAAAGCTAGGTTTTGCAGCTTTTTGTTTTTGGCTTTTTTCCATCTAAAACTATGAAAAAAAAATGAAGCTGAATGTTTACCAAACACAAAAACAACTTTTTTTTTATACCAGTTTTTTTCAGTATGCCTAACACACAGAGAATTAATGGAAAGGATACTTAGATTGATTCATCGCCATATGATAGATGACAAAGAGGGTAGTAAGGAAGCAGTACCGTGCTGCCCCAGCGATCCCGAGCATCGATATTGGCCTTGCGAGAGAGCAACAGCCTAGCAACCTCGACGTGGCCCTCGCAGGCAGCGATATGGAGCGCCGTACGGCCGTCCAAATCGATGCTGTTGACGTCGACGCCTTGATTGAGGAGGTCCTCGACGCCATGGACGTCGCCGCGGCAGGCGAGGAAGAGGAGGTTCATGGTGGAGTCGAGATTCTCGGGGATGGAGAGATCGACGTCGTCGTCATCGTCGTGGGAAGGGCTGCGGCGGATGGGGTCGAGGGA